AAGCAATGAATAAGCTCAAAGGACTACGAAAAGAGGTTAAGGATAATGCTGGGCATGACGCTCACACTTGGGATTGGATGGACTTCACTTTGGGAAAGTGGGGAGCAATGTTTACAAAAATGGCAATTATGATAGGCATAGCACTTGTAGTAATGGGAATGGTAGTTTGTTGTGTACTGCCTTTGTTGAAATCACTTTTGATCCAAACCACAGTAAAGCAAATTACTGTAGAGACAATTGTTAATAAGTCAACCAAAGAAATACACCCTGTTCAGGGAGCTCCAGGACAGTATGTTAATGAATATGGAAAGCCCTGTAATATTAAAGGAGGACCAATGGACTGCCCATTTGGGAATCCTGAATGTCTGTATGGTGTTGTCCCTGGGGGTGGATGGGCCTGTCATGGTTACAAAGCTCAACAGCAACAATTGGAGGTCAGCTTAGAGGGAAACCTTGCGGATTTGTACCCAGTACCCGACTGGGCTCCTCGTCCTCATCAGGATGGGTCAGACAATGAGGAAGATACATTGGTCTGAATATATATATATTCTTATAAAATGTAGCCACAGATGGCAAGGCTAAGAATAAGTATATGCACATGCTTACAGTCTCATATGTAGTTACACCCAATAGTCTCCTCTATAGTGTTACACCCAATAGTCTCCTCTGTAGTTATCCCCAATAATCCCCTCTGTAGTTACACTCAATAGTCTCCTCTGTAGTGTTACACCCAATAACTTACACTCATTACATGTTAACTTTTGTTTTATTGGTTGGGACTTAGAAAGTCCCAAAGGGGGGAATATATGGATGATTTTCTAGTACATATGTTGTAGAACGAAACGCCTATATGCCTTCAATGCTTATGGATTAAGAACCAATTAAAAGGGTTAAAACAGAGACAGAGACATTTCTTTAGTGCAAATGCTGTGCTTCTGATAAGAATGGTTTCCTCTAACTCCCCCCGCAGCTGGTCTGGGTATGTCAATGACATGTGACGGAGATAAAACTTCTCGTTGTGGCTGTGTGGAGATTGGAGTAAACAATGGAACTAGTGTTATCACTTGTTTGTGCTTATGACCTGACACACACAGTCACATGCACATAGTCACAAAGAAAAACCATAGTGGCTCAGGCTGTTGGGAAAGGCTTAAATGTATGTTATGGACATGACATGTGTAAACCATGTTTAAGTATTAAATTGATATGTTTTATAATGTGTTATGAAATGATAAGGGTAAAACAGAATGAACATGATTGATACTTTGTACTCCAGATGCATGCCTGGATAGTGAATATAGTCAATACAGAGTGTGATTGTTCTTTAACGTAGGTATGTATATTATTTTTTGAGAGTGTCCGAGTCACGCCACCAATATAATGAGATAAGCGACAGAGGCCCCATTTAGAGAAGCGTACCTAGCCTTCGTGAGTAAACAACATGTGACACCGAAGGATGTTAATCATGTACATATAATGGAGTACCTGTGTAGGTTGTATAAGCATGACTATGCATTTGTGTCTGTATAAAAGGAGAGCTCCGAGTCAGGGCAAGCAGTTGCTCCATGGACCGGCTCAGCTTTGTTACGCTTTAATAAAGTATATTCTGAATTCACAAGCTCCGGTTTTTTGAGAGATATTTTTGAGTTAAACATTTCTACCACACTACTGATGCCAGTGTTGCCAACTTAGCGACTTTGTCGCTATATTTAGCGAGTATTCAGACCCCTCTAGGGACACATTTTCAAAAAAGCGACTAGTGACAAATCTAGCGACTTTTTCTGGTGTTATTGGAGACTTTTGGAGACTCTGACGTGAAAGCATGTATCGTTCTTACTCTTCTCAACGAGCAGCGGGTGCTGCCGTGTGCCCCACCCCCGACCCCCGCTGCCGTGGGCCCCAACCCCCGTCCCAAAGCACTCACAGGCGGCCCAGTCCTCGCGCAGCAGTCCCTCCCAGCTGCCGTCAGAGCAGGAGATGTTCACCCCTCCGCATCCAGACTGCAAATGAATCGCGCATGCGGGAAGCTGCCACTGGCTGATCCCGCCCTGGGGATGTAAATGTAGGGTGTTTTTTACTAACTTTTTGTCTCCCTCACGACGTTATTCCTCTCTCCTACAGCGTCCATCACAATTACATGCACATGGCAAATTATGCAAATTAGGTGATGACGTCATTTAGCGACTTTTAGGACAGCCAATAGCTACTTTCCTTACTGAGGAGTTGGCAACACTGACTGATGCACGTTCAGCTAAATTAACTGTCGAACAGAACGGTGAACAACACATAGGGCGCCGTACTATGGCTGACCCTGTAAAACAACACATTTCACTGCACCTGTCCGGTGTATGTGACAATAAAACATCTTATCTTACATAACTAGCTGGCTAATTAATGCTAAATGAACGTTTTGCCTGCAAGTGCATGCTACCGTTATCTAGCGACCTAGTTAACTGGCAAAGAAAATAACTTGTGTTCTAGCGCTTAGCATTAGCTGTGGGCTGACAAACCTAAGTAACTGGATGGCATGCTAGCGTAACTGTAGTTACCTGGCTAACGGTACTAGCTACACAACACACGATAGAAATGTATATCAACGGTCAAGGTATGCAGCTTGCAAGGTATCATCATGTTGTGGTTACAATAGGCACTGGCCAGCCAAGTAGGGGGCACGAATTCCTCCTAAAAGTTCAGGCTAGCTTTGTCATTTCTGACTGGAAATCAGATCCGTTACATTTGAATTGTTAACTGTCAATCTTGGGGCGTTTTTGACATTGGAAATAGCTTGCTAATTAGCCAAGAAGTTCCCAGTCACTTTTGAATTATTCAAATGGGTTCTGCACCTTTAAGGCCACCACCTGCCCTGGACATATGAGTATAGTTATTATAGTAATACAATGCATTGTGGGGGATAGCAAGTTTGGCTTGTTGCAGCGAGGCATATTTCCTGCACCTCTCCGTCCCCTTGAAAATGCACGACGGCGGGGACTCAGAAGCCTCCGTCCTCGGCACCTCGCGATCTAATTATTTCTCCCTCCCGGCCATCTCAACCCATAGCTCCCTCACCATATAACCTCCAAAACACTTTCTCACCTTGGCCCCGTGTCCCCCTTTTGCACTCTCTCGTAGCTGCTGCTAACTCTCAGTTCTCTGACTCCAAGATGGCGGGTCTATGCAACGAACGAGTCTGTGAGATCTGAGTCGACAGCAACAGTGAGGCGGCCACTTTCTGTAACTGAAAGACACGACGCCATGGCGAGGACTGAGCAAGGAACAGGCAAACTAATTAAATGCAGAGAGAGTGACAATTTCGTATCTGCTCTTCAAGGGAATTGCTGCGGAAATGTCCCGTGTAGCTCAGTTGGTAGAGCATGGCGCTTGCAACGCCAGGGTTGTGGGTTCGATTCCCACAGTGGACCAGTATGAGAAGAAAATAATAATTTATGCACTCACTAACTGTAAGTCGCTCTGGATAAGAGCGTCTGCTAAATGACAAAAATGTAAATGTAAAATATATCAACAGAAACATTGTAACAAGTATTTTCTTGTCAGTTGTGGCAAAAAAAACTGCCCATTAGAGGGGATTTATACGACATTATCGTTTCCGAGCCGAACTCGATTGGTGGAGTCTGCTACTCCCGAAGATTACCGAGCTACGTGTTACGTCACTGAAAGGGAACCTCGTAAAACAAGTATCGCGAGCCGGTTTCTTTCGTTAATTTATTTTGTCGATTTTAGGACTGATTTGATATATGAGCTATACATTGCACACAAGACATGTTACAATTTAACTGTTAACATCAATATATACCTGATACTGGTTCTTCAGAAGCCTCATGTGCATAATATATTTTACTTTATCCCAAACAACCTTCACACTCACTTCTCAAAGCAGTGCAACAGTGCAGAGAAAATGCTTGAGTGAAAATCTCAGTCTGCTGTGCATTGATGACACTGTAAACACTGAACTGAAGTACTAGGCCATTTCCCTGTCCTTGTCAGTTGCTGCATATTTATGAGAGGAAGGCGTCTCACTCAATCCCCAGAATAATATCATAACTTAAGATTTTTCATATTCACCTTTCGGCATTCAGACAGAAGGTCCCTCACACCATCAGAGGAATTCATAACATTCAAACACACGAAATATAACAATTCCATAGACCGATTTGAGCATTTGTTTTAATTTTCATAAAGCACATTTAGCAAACCATAGCAAAGTGGGGTTACATTGACCTGATCTCAGAGGGTGTCACAACAGAATAAACTGCCAGCCAATGCAACAGGTGTGAAGGAAGTTGTCATGACGCCATAACTGACACTAACAACAAAAACGTAAGTAATTCATAAACATACATTCCACAGTACCATTCATGTCACTAGCCAGTGGAATTAACTAATACCAGTTGAGATTTATAAATCAGAATTTCTAAATCTAATTTCAGAGAAAAATGTGGAGTTATTTTGTTAATTCAGACAGATTTGAGTGTAAAGACAGTAAACCGATCATAGTGCAGTTTGAAGCTTCGCTGAAAAAACAAGAGAGAAAGAAGGAAGAGAGAGAGACTAGAACATATGATATTACAGAGAAGTAATAATAATATTATTATAGGGGCTAAGAGGTTATAAAGGAGCTCCTGCATTCTTCCCCTCTCCTGTGAGTATCCATCGCCAGGCGCTGTGTACTTCCCATCATCACAGAGAATACAGTACTCACTGCTCACACAGCAATGTACTCACTGCTCGTTTCCTTTCCATTTCAGACAGCACAAGCAGAGCATCTCAGTCATCATTTCAGACATTTATGAAATAGACAAGTCTATTTCACTCAAAAGTTCAGACAGTTAAAGCCCATTTCAGACCAATTACAGTCCCACTTCATTTCACTTGTCATTTCAGAATGGCAGCTCAAGTCCATTTCAGACCCGTTCATTTCAGACAGCCACCTCAAGTCTGCCATTTCAAGCCTGTCCAGTTTCAGGCAGGTCCAACCATCCATTTCAGAGCCAGCTGGACTTCTCCTCCTCAAACTTCTGTGGATCAATAAATGGCTTGTCGATTGACTTGATCATCAGCTCACCGCAGTACACACACTCGCAGGCGATGATGTCATCAATGTCGGACTTGATCTGCTCTCGGCTGACTCCGGCGCTTCCTTTCCCCAGGCTGGCGGTGTCACCCCCCTCCTCCTTCTCCTTGGGGGCGGGGCGGTGGCGGGACTTGGAGGTCTGAGTGGCTGCAGCCAGCTTCTTCTGCATCTCATCTAGTTTAGTCTGCTTGTAGGTGGACAGGTGAGGGTTCACCTGAGGAAAGATCCCTAGTTTAGTCTGCTTGTAGGTGGACAGGTGAGTGCTCACCTGAGGAAAGATCCCTAGTTTAGTCTGCTCGTAGATGGACAGGTGAGGGCTCACCTTATATAAGGTAACTAGTGAACTTAAAAAAGGCTATTGAACTATTGAATCTCCTGGGGGAAGAAGACACATTAATGAGTCATCTCTGGCTCTAGTGTACATTTTTGGGGATATCCTCCTCCAAGCCATTTTCATTGTGTGTGTAGCGTACATAATTTACAAATATACGTAGTAATGACCCAATGCCCCTCTGTTTGCTGAAATACATTGTTAGCTAAACTCTTCTTGAAATAGGGTCAAAGGTCAAGATCAAAATGATGTGCTACTGACCTACTGGTATATATGGTTACATTTACATTTTTAGTCATTTAGCAGACGCTCTTATCCGGAGCGACTTACAGTTAGTTAGTGAATACATTATTTTATTTTTTCATACCCCCTGTGGGAATCGAACCCACAACCCTGGCGTTGCAAACGCCATGCTCTATCAACTGAGCTACATCCCTGCCGGCCATTCCCTCCCCTACCCTGGACGACGCTGGGCCAATTGCGCGCCGCCCCATGGGTCTCCCGGTCGCGGCCGGCTACGACAGAGCCTGGATTCGAACCAGGATCTCTAGTGGCACAGCTAGCACTGCGATGCTGCGCCACTCGGGAGACTGTTAGCCAACTGTTCTTGAAATAGGGTCAAAGGTCAAATAAAATGGGTTTGCAATACTGACCTCCAGGAAGAGGCAGTCGTAGTGGAACATGTGACCACAGAGGAACAGGTAGAAGGGTCTGTTGAGGAGGGGGAAGTCGCAGGCAGCGCATTTCTCCTGGCTCTCCACCACCCCGTACTTGTTCCTCATCTCCTGGATGTCCTCTCTGATCCGCTTGGCGCTCTCCGTCGCCTCCTCCATCTCCTGCTTCAGCTCTTCTATGTGCTGGTTGTACTCCTCTAAAGAGCTGCAGATAGCCTCCTGCCGGGGAGGGAGGGAGGGAGATGGTGTGGAGGGACATAGAAACACAAATACATAGAAGCTGAGATTTGGTTCTGGGTGCCGAGATTACATACTTGCAAACATTTGGTTTGGCTGGTACAATGGAACCAATAGAATAGTCCCAAAAGTGCAAGATCCAAGGTAAATTAAGTGCACCTCAAATACTGTCTTGTGTGTGTGTGTGTGTGTGTGTGTGTGTGTGTGTGTGTGTGTGTGTGTGTGTGTGTGTGTGTGTGTGTGTGCGCTTGTTTGTTTGTTCATTTGTTTTAGATTCTGGACCTAAACATTTGATTCCAGTATTACCTTGAAGTGGTCTATGGTGACGAAGTCTGGGAAGAAAGGCAGTATGTCTTCTATCTTCAACAGGTTACAGCTGGACAGACAGTTCATGGCCTTCTTCACATCCTTCTCCTCCTGCACCACGTGACGGGCGATCTTCAGCCACAACTTCTTCCTCAACTCCTCATCATCCTCAGGCAGGTCAGCACACGACTTGGCCATGTCCACATCCACCTGGAAGGAGAGGGAAAACAGCACAGGAGAAGAGTTGCACCAGCCGCTTGAGGAACGGATTTTCAAGGAGCGGGACACTAATCCAGACGCTTATAAGTAATCCCGCTACGCCCTAAAATGAACCATCAAACAGGCAAAGCATCAATACAGGACTAAGATCGAATCCTACTACATTGGATGTGGCAGGGCTTGCATACTATCACGGATTACAAAGGGAAACCCAGCCGCGAGCTGCCCAATGAAGCGAGCCTACCAGATGAGCAAAGTTTTTTTTATTTTACCTTTATTTACCTAGGCAAGTCAGTTAAGAACAAATTCTTATTTACAATGACGGCCTACACCAGCCAAACCCGGACGACGCTGGGCCAACTGTGCACCGCCCTATGGGACTCGCAATCACGGCCGGTTGTGATACAGCCTGGAATCGAACCAGGGGGTCTGTAGTGACGCCTCAAGCACTGAGATGCAGTGCCTTAGACCGCTGTGCCACTCGGGATATAAAATGCCTTCTATGCTGGCTTCGAGGCAAGCAACACTGAACCATGCATGAGAGCACCAGCTGTTCCAGATGACTGCGTGATCACGCTCTCTGTAGCCGATGTGAGTAAGACCTTTGAACAGGTTAACATTCACAAGGCTGCAGGGCCAGACGGATTACCAGGACGCGTACTCAGAGCATGCGCTGACCAGCTGGCAAGTGTCTTCACTAACATTTTCAACCTCTCCCTGACCCAGTCTGTAATACCTACATGTTTCAAGCAGACCACCATAGTCCCTGTGCCCAGGAATGCCAAGGTAACCTGTCTAAATGACTATCGCCCCGTAGCACTCACATCTGTAGCCATGAAATGCTTTGAAAGGCTGGTCATTAAATCACATCAACACCATCATCCCAGACACCCTGGACCCACTCCAATTCACATACTGCCCCTACAGATCCAAAAGATGATGCAATCTCTATTGCACTCCACACTGCCCTTTCCCACCTGGACCAGAGCAACACCTATGTGAGAATGCTGTTCATTGACTACAGCTCAGCGTTCAACACCATAGTGCCCACAAAGCTCATCACTAAGCTAAGGACCCTGGGACTAAACACCTCCCTCTGAAACTGGATCCTGGACTTCCTGACGGGCCGCCCCCAGTTGGGGAGGGTAGACAACAACACATCCGCCACACTGACCCTCAACACAGGGGGCCCATCAGGGGTGCGTGCTCAGTCCCCTCGTGTACTCCCTGTTCACACACAACTGCGTGGCCGTGCACGGCTTCAACACCATCATTAAGTTTGCCGACGACATGACGGTGGTAGGCCTGATCACTGATGACGATGAGGCAGCCTTTATGGAGGAGGTCCGTTACCTGATAGTGTGGTGCCAGGACAACAACCTTTCCCTCAACGTCAGTAAGACAAAGGAGCTGATCGTGGACTACAGGAAACGGAGGGCCGAGCACGCACCTATTTACATTGATGGGGCTGTGGTGGAGCGGGTCGAGAGCTCCAAGTTCCTCGTTGTCCACATCACTCAGGATCTATCACGGTCCACACACACCAACACAGTCGTGAAGAGGGCACGAAAGAGGGCCCTCAGATCATCAAAAGGTTATACAAAAAGCAAGATTGACAGCATCTTGACTGGCTGCATCACCGCTTGGTATGGCAACTGCTTGGCATCCAACCGCAAGGCGCTACAGAGGGTAGTGCGTACAGCCCAGTACATCACTGGGGCCGAGCTCCATGCCATCCAGGGCCTCTATACCAGGCGGTGGCAGAGGAAGGCCCTAAAAATCGTCAAAGACTCCAGCCACCCAAGCCATAGACTGTTCTCTCTGCTACCGCACGGCAAGCAGTACCAGTACACCAAGTCTGGAACCAACAGGACCCTGAACGGCTTCTACCCCCAGGCCATAAGACTGCTAAATAGTTACATTTCTATTATTTCTGTTTACTTTCTCTCCGCATTGTTGGGAAGGGCCTGTAAGTACGCATTTCACTGTTAATCTACACCTGTTGTTTACGAAGCATGTGACAAATAAAATTCGATAATGTATGTATATATTGAGATAATGAATGCAGATATTGAGATAATGTCTGTATATATTGAGATAATGTATGCATATATTGAGATAATGTATGTGTATATATTGAGATAATGTATGTGTATATATTGAGATAATGTATGTGTATATATTGAGATAATGTATGTATATATATTGAGATAACGTATGTATATATTGATGGTGTAGCCCACTATTTGCACTTTCTTATCTTGCAATATCCTGTTAATATCAAATGATCAACAGTTAGCTACATATTAATCAAAACTAGCCAAGACACTCACTTGTAGGGCCAGATCGACAGCTTCCTCATACAGCCCCATGATCTTATAGACCAGAACACAGGCCTGGAGGTAGCCATGTTCAGCACACAGCCTCAGGGCATACTTTAAATCATAGTGGATGTCTGAAGCGTGGGTCCCAGCCTGTCAATAACAATAACACATTTGATTTATTAATCATAAAATAACCTATGTTTATGTGTTAATAATAATACATTTTAATGTATTATATTTGATTTACTTTCAAGATACCCAAGGACACTCAAGAGTAAACTAGAATAAAATATAAAACAGGTAATTATTTTTTTTAAAGTTAGCGATAGACATTTGGTCTGTGTGTCCTTGGTCGAAAGTAGGGCTCTATATAGGGAGCAGGGTGCCATTTGGGACGGACACAGCCTTGAACCTACCTGTTCCAGGTACCACAGGAGACTCTCAGGTTTGTACTTGGCGTAGACGGACAGCAGGTAGTTGTGTATGGCCTCTTCTGTCACCGTGAGCTGGTAGACGCAGAACTCCATGTAGCGGATGGTCTCGTGGATCTGTTGTGTAGAACCCATCTGACTGTAGTTGACCAGGGCTGGGATCAGCTTCTTAGGTTCCAGCCTGCTGCCCATCTGGATCCAGGCATCCACCACCTTATGATTATTAAAGGTTATTGTTCATTAATAATTCCCTTTCACAAATACACAAAAATCGGCACATGACATGCCATGAATTTCCGTGAAAATGTAAAATAAAGTATGGTTATGTATGGCATGTCAAACTGAATTGCATTGTACTTGAACACAAAGACAATAATAATAACAACAACAACAAAACATTTCAACGCAAAATCACCGTATCACCTTCTTAGGTATGTGTTGCATGAGGATGGGGGAGAACTTATAGAAGAGCTTCTCGTCGCAGTGCTTAGAGAGCACCTCCAGGGCGGCGCTATAGTCATCATGCTGACAGTGGTGGGAGATCACCCTCTCATAGTCCTAGAGAGAGAGAGATAAATAGATGTAGATTCTTTCTTAAATCCCAGAAAATGTCAAAACAGCAGCAGCAAGTTTTATTATACAAAACGGAAAATAAAGGTGGCAGAAAATTGCCGTACCATTAGAGAGACCAGTGTTAATTTGAGCAGCTATTTTTAGATTTAGATTTAGTCTTAAAAATACCTTTTAGTCTTAAGTCACATTTTAGTCATTTCATCCTCCGTTACTTTTAGTTATTATCAGTCGACTAAAACTCTGGACAAGTTTAGTCACAGACATAATAATGACTCCTTTATCTTCCGTCATGTGAACATTCAGATAGCCTCGTCCAACTAGGCCTAATACCCCTCCTATACCTTAGCTGGTAACATTGATATTGTGGCAGACTGTAACCGATGCCAGACATTATTAACAGTAAAGGCTATAAAGCCTTGGCTACAGGTTAAACGTCTGATTTTCTCCCCGTCATAAATTAATAAATAAACTAAAATAAATCATCATTAATTAGACAAGACAAGTGGAGTGATGATAAATGGATCGGCAGCTATAAAGCCTTGGCTACAGGTTAAACATTTTTTACAGCTCTGATTTTCTCCCCATCATAACCGTCAAAGGGGGGGGGGGGGGGTAAATAACAGTGGTTTCCTTGAAAAAAAGGGGGAGAATTTGAGCTTTACAAAAATGCCAGAAATATTACTGTACACCTAACATTCAACAAATAGCATTATTTTATTTTTTTCCATAGGAAAAAGCAACCGCAACTCGCATTTGTGGACCGGGGCGCGAGAGCTGTAACAACACATGCACATTCACACACTTTTACACTCATCATTTGCTGCATCTACTCTGTTCATTATTTTACACGTATCATCTATCCTGATGCCTAGTCACTTTACCCTGCCTTCATGTACATATCTACCTCAAATACCTTATTATTATCTATCCTGATGCCTAGTCACTTTACCCTGCCTTCATGTACATATCTACCTCAAATACCTTATTATTATCTATCCTGATGCCTAGTCACTTTACCCTGCCTTCATGTACATATCTACCTCAAATACCTTATTATTATCTATCCTGATGCCTAGTCACTTTACCCTGCCTTCATGTACATATCTACCTCAAATACCTTATTATTATCTATCCGGATGCCTAGTCACTTTACCCTGCCTTCATGTACATATCTACCTCAAATACCTTATTATTATCTATCCTGATGCCTAGTCACTTTACCCTGCCTTCATGTCCATACACTATACAGTAAGCAACGTCAGCACAAGAACTGTTAGTCTGGAGCTTTATGAAATGGGTTTCCATGGCCGAGCAGCCGCACACAAGCCTAAGATCACCATGCGCAATGCCAAGCGTCGGCTGGAGTGGTGTAAAGCCCGCTGCCATTGGACTCTGGAGTAGTGGAAGCGCGTTCTATGGAGTGATGAATCACGCTTCACCATCTAGCAGTCCGAGGGACAAATGTCCATTAGTCTCCCGTGGAATTCTCGTCTCGTCACATTTTTTGTCTATTAAAATGAAGTCATTTTTAATAGTTATGAATTTTTTCCAGGGCGTCTCATCTCATTATCGCCGTAGTTTTAGTCAGGAAAAATAGCTTGTTGATGAGTATTTTTCGTCATAGTTATTGACAAAATGAACACTGTTAGAGACAACCAAAAGAGAGCGGCAATAAATCCTACAATACAATACCCTGAATGAACAGCAGGGTTGGGGTCAATTCTATTTCAATTCAGGAAGTACACTGAAATTCCAATTCTCTTCAATGCTTTTCAATGTGGAATTGGAATTTGGTTCCGTGGTTGCCATGGCACTGTAAAGTAGCATAGGCGAGCTCTATAGATACTTTTTTTTTTTTTTTAGTGTTTTTTGTTGCATTTTGTAATAGTTTTTGGGTGGTTCTGGCTTCTCTAGGGTTTGATCACTATATCCTATGGTCTTGACTCTCAGAGTTGCAGGATCATGATGAAAAGTATTTTGGCTCGCTAGCTAGCTAGCTGGCTGGCTGTTTGGATTCAAGTAATGTGGCTTTTTGTTTCATCTGTTTGGAAGTATTACACCAAGGACTGCAAGCTGTGTCCAGAGGTAGCAGAGGAAAGTCAGGGACTGTTGAGGGAATGCAAGCTGTGTCCAGAGGTAGCAGAGGAAAGTCAGGGACTGTTCAGGGAATGCAAGCTGTGTCCAGAGGTAGCAGAGGAAAGTCAGGGACTGTTCAGGGAATGCAAGCTGTGTCCAGAGGTAGCAGAGGAAAGTCAGGGACTGTTCAGGGAATGCAAGCTGTGTCCAGAGGTAGCAGAGGAAAGTCAGGGACTGTTAAGGGAATGCAAGCTGTGTCCAGAGGTAGCAGAGGAAAGTCAGGGACTGTTAAGGGAATGCAAGCTGTGTCCAGAGGTAGCAGAGGAAAGTCAGGGACTGTTCAGGCAATGCAAGCTGTGTCCAGGGGTAGCAGAGGAAAGTCAGGGACTGTTCAGGGAATGCAAGCTGTGTCCAGAGGTAGCAGAGGAAAGTCAGGGACTGTTCAGGGAATGCAAGCTGTGTCCAGAGGTAGCAGAGGAAAGTCAGGGACTGTTAAGGGAATGCAAGCTGTGTCCAGAGGTAGCAGAGGAAAGTCAGGGACTGTTAAGGGAATGCAAGCTGTGTCCAGAGGTAGCAGAGGAAAGTCAGGGACTGTTCAGGCAATGCAAGCTGTGTCCAGGGGTAGCAGAGGAAAGTCAGGGACTGTTCAGGGAATGCAAGCTGTGTCCAGAGGTAGCAGAGGAAAGTCAGGGACTGTTCAGGGAATGCAAGATGTGTCCAGAGGTAGCAGAGGAAAGTCAGGGACTGTTCAGGGAACGCTCCTAACCACTGCCAAGATGTGGTGGCTTTTCGTGCGCTTTTCAGCAGCTGTGACATCACCCGGGCGGCAGGTAGCTTAGTGGTTAAGAGCGTTGTGCCCAGTAACCGAAAGGTCGCTGGTTCTAATCTCCGAGCAGACCAGGTGAAAAATCTGTCGATGTGCCCTTGAGCAAGGCACTTAACCCTAATTGCTCCTGTAAGTCGCTCTGGATAAGATCGTCTGCTAAATGAATGTAAAATGTAAAATGTAAAACATTCCTGGCGATGGAGGACCAGTAGCAGAAAAGCGGCTCCAATGGAGTGACTGACCATTCAGAAAAGCAGGTGTTGAAGACCCCTTGGCCATTTCTTTCAGACCGTCTTTGTTTCTCCTTGGTTGTCCCATCGGTGCCCTCTCCACTGAACCTACACAGCCTTTCCAACCCAAATTGCCTCAACTTCATCCCAAGCCGACTGAGACTTTCAGGTCTTCAGCCTGCTATGCTATTGTTTGTTAATGATTAGAGCCATTTATTTAAGAGGATCCCAATGGAAATAAGTTTTCAAACTATTTTTTGTCATCCTCAAATGATTTTAAATGCATTATCCACACGTGTGGTTGTATCGTGTTTTAAATAATCAAATATATCTATCTATATATAGGAATTTGGTTCACTTTCTGAATTGACTAGAATTGAAAATGGAATTGAGCCCAAGCCTGGATAGATAGCGTCATAAGATACCTTCATGATGACAGAGAAGTAGACCATGTCGTCCACGTTGCCATGGCTAGCCAGCAGGTCATAGATGGTCGTACGGTTGTTATAGAGACACTCCTTGTGTTTGGAGCTACTGAGGAACTTCCGGAACTCATCACGCGTCTCCTGGAACACCCCATGTTTCCCCTCGTCTGATTGCAGAAGCCCCAGGCGGTTCAGGTAGAGCTCAGTCAGCCAGGTGACCAGTAAGGTGATCTGGGTCTTCTCACTCTGTTTTAATTCATCAATCAAAATGTTTTTGTCCCCAGGGGGAAATTTGAATTGCAAGCAGGGGTAACATGATTTTTAAAAGAGTTAAAAACAGATCACACAAAAGAGTTGTTACAAGTTACCTCAGATCACACAAAATAAGTCCGCATCCCAAATGTCACCCTATTCCCTATATAGTGCACTACTTTTGACCAGGGCCCATACGATGTCATTTTGGACACACTAAAGTCACCAAAAACATCCTACCTGTTTCAGGTTGTTGAGTTTCTTTAGAAGGAACTCTTTCAGAGCTTCTTCCTGTTTCGCCTCGATGAACTTCAACGCGATCTCCTCAAAGTAGTTCTGGGTCAGAGCGTAGCACTTGGCACTCTCCAGATAGCGTTTGTTCTGGAAGCAGTGCTCTGCCTCCTTAGCCAGAACCATGTCCATGCACTCTGGCCGGTCCCGGCAGTACTCCTTAGCCAGGTCAAACTTGTTCATACTCATGTACATCTGCCACACATCCCTGGCTTCTCTCTGGATGTGGTATCTGGATTGAGAGAGAGAGAAAAAAAAACACCTGGTCTTTTGTTTCTAGCACTGATTTCACAGATCGTGGCTGAACAAGGTTTAACTAGCAATGGCAGATCTAGTCTGATTTCACAGATAGTGGCTGGACAAGGTTTAATTAGCAACGGCTGTGATATGTGGTTGTTCTACCGATCCTAGTTGAATGCAGTGATTGTATGTCTCTCTGAGTAGGAGTGTCTGCTAAATGACTACAAAACTAAATGGAATGTAAACGTACCTAAAGACGGCCTTCTCAGTGTAGATCCACACCAGGCCTCCTGCTGGGTCCTTGATCATCTTCTTCAGGGTGCCAAACTTATCAGGGAACACGTCCTCGCACACCACCTGTCAATCAATCAATCAATCAACTGAATGTATTCATAAAACGTCCGTCCGTCCGTCCGTCCGTCCACAGTAACCTGACCTAGACCCAACAGTAACCTGACCTAGACCCAACAGTAACCTGACCTAGACCCCACAGTAACCTGACCTAGACCCCACAGTAACCTGACCTAGACCCAACAGTAACCTGACCTAGACCCAACAGTAACCTGACCTAGACCCCACAGTAACCTGACCTAGACCCCACAGTAACCTGACCTAGACCCCACAGTAACCTGACCTAGACCCCACAGTAACCTGGCCTAGACCCCACAGTAACCTGACCTAGACCCCACAGAGCAAGCAGCAGCAAAGGCAGAGTCCTGTCCCGTCCTGTCCCGTCCGTGCATGTGTGTGCGCCCACCTGTCCGTTGAGTGTGCAGATGGCCTTGACGCGGTCAGGGAGGAGGAGTAGAAAGTGGAACTGAGTCAACACGATGGAGATGGGCTTGTTGAAACTGAAGTCTATGTCTGGGGTGTAATCCCACACCTGATGGAGAGAGGGAGCGAAAGACAGATGGAAAGAATGTGTTATAAAAATATATATAAAAAAGTACTGCAGCAGCAATATGAATTTCTAGAATACAATAGGATTCTTTTGAAAGACCAGTGACAAATAGACCTTCAGAACACCCATATCAACTGCGGGGAGCTTACCACTACAGCCCATGATAAATACAACACATCAAACCTTAAAGTACACTCGCCTAAAAATATTAGAATAGTATAGAAAACAGTACCTGCACATCACTGAGCAGCGAGTCCAGCTTGACGTAGTCCAGCTGACCGTAGAGAACTCCGTTACCCATCATCCATGCGAAGGCCTTGGGGCAGGACCTGAGCTTGGAAGTGTAGAAGGTGATCTCACTGTAGCCCATGTTAAAGGGAAACTCCTGGAAGCTGGGCAGCAGCTCCTAGTAGTAGTAGTAGTAGACATAGCATATTATAAGCCTAGTCATAAGACACAATAAAAGGGTTCATATACGGTTATAACAAGTTATGAAGAACCTCACAGGCTCTGACCAAAAGTAGTGCACTATATAGGGAATAGGGTGTAATTTCTGACACAGCAATGTAGTTTTAAAAGGCTGTTTTAACAGACCTGGTTCTGTGAGAAGATGGAGCTGAAGCCTTGCTGCTCTGACCCGTCTGCCACGCGACCTACGAACTGGAACAGGCGCTTCCTGGTGGTGGCGATGATGAAGACTTTAGACTCCAGACCTCGCTCCACCTCCATACAGCATACTGGAGCTGGCTTCCCATCCTCCTCCAGGGAATGGACCTGTGTTTCAATCACATACATTACTCATCATAATAAAGGAACTAGTTTTGCAAACGTACTTTCAAAAAGCTACATCAAATACGATAACAAAAGATGTTAGCAAAAGCTTGCAGCCTGTGGATAAGTTCACATGAAGGAGTGTAACCAATGAATGTAACCATCTCAACACTGATTGATTAGTTAGAATGTCAAGAGGTTTTATTAGCATGGCTTTCCATGGGTTCAACTTCTTTTTTTTTTTTTTTTATATACTTTGTTTATTGAATTTTCAGTACCAGCATTTAGTAAATAATTGCACTTGGAAGTTATTTGGTATGAATATGGAACAACAATTTGAAGACAACGATACAGCAAGACATAGAGAGACAGACATGAAAGAAAAAATAGACATTAAATACATAAATAAGATAAAACAAAAACAAAAAACAAACAAAAAAAATAATAATAATAAAAAATAAAAAATATAATAAATAAAATTTACAAAAAAATTACAAAAAAAAGGAAAAATATATGTTTTGATCCAGTTGTTATAGGTCAGCTAGCACAGTTATTACCATCCTTAACATCCGAGATGTCGTATATGCACATACCAGGCTTCTTACATCACCAATATATAAATATACATCAATCTGGAACTGCAGGGAAATGTATTCCTTTAACATAAGAAAAGAAGGGAGCCCACTTTGCATAGAATTTGTCTACAGACCCATTGAGTGTCTGTTTTATTTTCTCCAACTTTATGCAATTCAAAATAGATTTAATCCAAAGAGCATGAGAAGGGGCTGCAGAGGATTTCCATCTAAGTAAAATTAATCGTCTCGCTAACAACGTGACAAAGGCAATTACATCCTTATTCATTTTGGTCAATTGTATTGTGGGTAAGGAAACTCCAAATAATGCAATGAGAGGGTCTGGCTCGATCTGTGTACCGCTTAATTCTGAGAGTGTGTTAAAGATGTCTTTCCAGAAACCAACAAGAGATGGGCAGCACCAAAACATGTGCACATGATTAGCAGGGGACTGGTTACATCGAACACAATTAGGGTTCACATCCTTGTAAATTTTTGATAGTCTTGCTTTGGTCCAGTGGGCCCTATGAATGAGTTTGCATTGGATGAGGCCGTGTCGAGCGCAAATAGAAGAGCTATGTACCCTTTTGAGTGCCCCTTCCCATAGTTCATCAGGTATTTCCTCACCCAGTTCCTCCTCCCAAGAGGATTTGATATTGTTTAATGAGATGGCTTGTAGTGAGCAAATTTGACTATAGATTATTGACAATGTGCCTTTCTGATTAGGAAGTGGGGTGAGAAATGTGTCGAACTGTGTTCCACCAGAAAGGTTGGGGAATCCTGGATCTATGCTGCGGACATAACTCCGGACTTGTAAGAACCTAAAAAAATGATGTCTGGGGAGACCAAATTTAGCTGATAATTGTTGAAACGTACTAAATGTATTGTTAGTATACAGATCTCTGAATCTTTTAATACCGAGATTAGACCATGTTGAGAAAGCACCATCAATCATAGATGGGGGAAAAGCTGGGTTTGAGGCTACCGGAGCCAAGGAAGAGGTTGTTTGAAACCCAAAGTGGCGCCTAAATTGATTCCAGATCTTCAATGTTGTTTTGACACATATATTATTGGTGAAGGAGGAGTAAGGGCCTGTAATAGAGGAGTGAGCGAGGGAAGACAATGATGCCGGTGTAGACGAGGCAGCCTCCATCTCCAGCCAAGTTGGGGGTGGGAGTATCACTCTGCTCTGCAACCAGTACTGAATGATCCTAAGGTTAGCGGCCCAATAATAGAATCTGAAATCTGGTAGAGCTAGACCGCCGTCTGGTTTGGGCCTCTGCAAGAGCTGTTTTCGCATCCTAGGAGGCTTTTTGTCCCATATAAAGGGTAGAATTAGGCCGTCGATCTTTTTGAAAAATGCATTGGGTAGAAATATTGGAAGGCACTGATAGAGGTATAAGAATTTAGGGAGAGTATTCATTTTAATAGAGTTAATTCTAGCAACTAAGGAGAGGTGTAGCAAAGACCACCGTTCCAAATCGTCCTTAGTACGGGTTAAGAGAGGAGCAAAATTGGCTTGAAAAAGGTTTTCAAACCTAATTGTGACATGTACCCCGAGATAAATAAAACTACTGTGAGCTATTTTAAATGGCAAGTTATGTAGAGGGAATTTTTTTGCAGCCATGTTAAGTGGCATCAGTTCACTTTTACTGAGATTTAGTTTATACCCTGATAAGTGACCGAAGGATGCGAAAGTGGCAAGGGCAGCAGGGACAGAGACAGAAAGATTGGATGTGTATATTAATAAATCATCTGCATATAAAGACAGTTTGTGTTCGTGCCCGTATCTGACTATGCCTTTGATGAGGGGGTTGGAGCGAAGTGCTATTGCAAGTGGCTCTATGGCGAGGGCAAACAGTAAGGGACTTAAGGGGCAACCCTGACGTGTCGATCTTTGCAAAGGGAAGCGATCTGATTGAGTGTTATTAGTCCTGACAGAGGCTTGGGGGGATGAGTACAGAAGTTTTATCCAGGTCATGAATTTGGAGCCAAAGCCAAATTTATTTAGAGTGTAAAAAAGGTATTTCCATTCCACCCGATCAAACGCTTTCTCCGCGTCCAGGGATATAATGGCTTCAGAGGTATTGTCGACAGGAGGATTGTATATAATATTAAATAATCTTCGGAGATTGAAGAATGAGTGTCTATTTTTTATAAATCCTGTTTGATCCGGAGAGATAATTGATGGGAGGACTGTTTCTAGCCGCGTTGCCAGAATTTTGGCTAGAATTTTATAGTCCACATTTAGCAGGCTAATTGGACAGTATGATGCACAGTCAAGAGGGTCTTTGTTTTTTTTAAGAATAACACAAATGGTTGCTTGAGTGAGAGTATGTGGGAGAGCACCATTTACAAATGCATCATTGTACATTTCAATTAGAATAGGGGCTATTTTGGTGATAAACTTTTTATAAAACTCTGTCGGGTAGCCATCAGGCCCTGGGCTTCTCCCAGATTGAAGGGATTTGACAGCGTTAGACAGTTCTTCAACAGTGATCGGCTGCTCTAATTTTTTAACCAAATCCCGGCCGACCGAAGGCACAGAAAGTGAGTGGAAGAAATCATCCAATTCCAGTGTATCCGCTTTACTTTCAGAGGTATATAGAGACTGGTAAAATCTCTTGAACTCCTCATTGATCCCCCCAGGATCTAATGATATCCCAGATGATGTACGGATTTTTGTAATCTGAGATGATGATGATAGTTGACGTAACTTGTGAGCTAATAATTTACTGGCTTTATCTCCTTGTTCATAGTAAGTGCTCCTAGACTTGACAAGCATTTCAGTAACCTGGTCTGTTAATAGTGTGTCAAATTCTGCTTGCAGAGTTAAACGTTCCTTATAAATATCCGGGGATGGTGAAACGGCATAAATGTCATCTAATTGGGCAATACAGCGTGTTAACATAGATAACCTATTCCTTTTCAATTTGTTCTCATGTGCGGCGTAGGAGATAATTTCACCTCTGATATAAGCTTTCAAAGTTTCCCAGAGAGTAGACGCAGAGATGTTTGGGGTTCTATTTGTAATCATGAAAAAGTCGATTTGACTCAAAACAAAATTGACAAAGTGTTCATTACTGAGCAGTTGAGTTTTTAGTCGCCAAGGCGGTCGCTGATTGTCAAGATTTTGAAAAGCTACTTCCATAGTAACAGGGGCGTGGTCAGATACTACAATTGGGTTATATGAACATGAAGATATGGAGTGGAGGAGCCGGTCATCAACAAGGAAGTAGTCTATGCGCGTAAAAGTGTGGTGAACCGATGAGAAAAAAGAGTATGCTTTCCCAGTTGGATTAACCATTCTCCAAGGGTCTGAGACTGCGAATTCAGACATAAAGGTTCGAACAACTCTAGCTGAGGTTGATAAGGTGGTAGGTTTAGTGGAGGATCGATCCAATTGTGGGTCTAACCAACAGTTAAAGTCACCTCCTAAAATCAACATATGGGTGGACATATCTGGGAGTGTAGAGAAAACCGATTTGAAAAAATCACCATTGTCCCAATTAGGAGCATAGATATTAACAAGAAGAACCTTTGTATTGAGCAGCCTACCACTGACAATTATATATCTACCGTGGGGATCTGCGATCACCTTAGAACATGTAAAAGGTACCGATCTGTGAAGTAAAATAGCCACCCCTCTCGCCTTACTCTGAAATGAGGAATGGAACACCTGACCCACCCATCTGCACCTAAGACTTGAGTGTTGTGATACCTTCAGATGAGTTTCTTGGAGAAAGATGATGTGAGCTTTCAAATGATGAAGATGGTGTAGCACCTTACTACGTTTAATTGGGTTATTTATGCCCCTGCAGTTCCAAGTAAGAAAATTAAAGCCATTCCCTCCAGCAGTATGGGCTACACTAGGCTGAGTCATATCTTAAGAAAGAGAGGGGATGTGTAAAGGACAAGGTACAATGTAAACTGAAGATCTTAGTTGAACCTAAAAGCGCAAATGTAAAAAACAAAAACAAGCAAAGAAGCACAAAAAACATATACAAACTATATACAAATAGAGAGTGAACAAACCCTTCCCTCACACCCGCCCTTGCCGAAGCATCTCCCCAAATGAGATGCAAGCAAAACCCTAAATACAAAGAAAGTTTAGAGCTAAGCATGATAACTCTTACTCTGTGCTACCTAAGATTAGTGACCATTTAACTAGAGTAAGCCAAACATGAATAGAATGGTCCCCAACAGAGTCTAAGGAAAACTATCCTCGATTAAGAGAGGTTTAACCTATAATAATAATAATATATAATTGGTCATTTAGCAGGCGCAGGTGGTAAATGATCAAACTGAAACAGCCATGCAGACCCCAGATATTGGCATTAGAGGCGGCAAACCTGGGCTGGAAATAAAGAGATAAAAAAGAGAATGACATTAATATGTCGACGAACCCAGCAAAGATAGCTTCGTTAGTCACCCATTCGGCCTGCTAGCTAGCCTGCTAGGAAGACCAGCCAGCCAACCATTTGTTACACACCATGCGGTACAACAGCCGCTTTCACGTTCTTGTTGATGAAATCTGCCGCTATAGCCGGGTCCTCGAATCTGTGCATGGAGCCGTCCGGTAAAGTCAGTCTCAAAACCGCAGGGTAGATGAGGCCGAACTTCACGCCCGGGCAGGCGTGTAGTTGGCGTTTCACAGCTCCAAAGCTAGCCCGCCTCTTAGCCACAGCTGTTGTGTAGTCCGCAAATATCGAGACTCTTTTACCCTTATGTAGAAGAGGGGATGCTTCTCCCGATCTTCTCAGTATGTCGTTGCGGACGTGAAAGAAATGCACCCTGATGACAAATGGTCGTGGGGGTTCTCCATCCCTGGGTCGGCTACGCAGAGTGCGGTGAGCCCGGTCTAGCAATGGCTTCTCCTCTAGCCCGAGCAGCTCCTGAAGTAGCTGGGCCATGTACTCCGTGGGCCTTGGGCCCTCCACTCCCTCCGGTATTCCCAGTAGACGAATGTTGTTCCTCCGCATTCTACTTTCCATATCTTCGCATTTATTATCGAGGAATGCCACCCTAGTTGTCAATGAGCCGACGTTAGCCTCTAGCTCGCTAATGCGAGTGCTGTGGTCTGTAGCCCCTCGCTCCAAATCCGATAAAGTCACCCCATGTGCGTCGAGCTTATTCTGTATACTCTCGATAGATTTTTTAAGCTCGTCTTTAATCGTTGATATCTCTGACCTGAGATTGGTAGAGAGACAGTCAATTTTTCCGAAAATGTCGGTTTTGAGGGTACCTATCACGGATTGCAGCATCTCCACAGTCAGTGTTTCCGTGGGGCCGGCATTGGCAGCGTTCGGTGGCGGGGGTGAGTCGGGAGAAGTTGCAGGCTTGTTGCGGCCTGCTCTTGCAGACTCTGTTTTTGGCCGGGTTGACGTCATTACGAATTTAAATTTATTAAACTTGAACCGAGTTGTTTATGGGTCTCTTCAGACGCCTGCCAAACAGAAATGTATGCAATTTTGCAAAGTTAAATATATAAATTTGGTCACTAACTCAGGAGCGATAGGGATACGCGTGCTACATCCTTGGCTTCCAACAGCGCCCCCCCATGGGTTCAACTTCAATATAAAAAAAAAGCATACAGTATTAACAGCAGTTCTTATTTTGGGGGTGTGTTGTATTTTTTTCTAAATGTACTTGAAGATATACTGTATAATCTCATATGTTTATTGCCAGATCCTACCACTGACCTGTTTGAAGTACTGGTCAGGGTTGGTGTTAAACAGGCTTCCCTCTGAAGCAGAGATCTCAGCCTCGAATATGATTCCCTGGCTGGTTCCCACTAGGATGGGCCCAGTGTTGGTCTCGGTCCCCAGAAGCTTGTTCCAGCCTAGACTCTCTATGAGGTGTCCTCTCCAGCGGGACAGAGACCTCACCTTCTGGGTGTTCCTGTTCAGATATAGACACTCACTGGTACTGAGAGAAATCACCAGGTGGGACCCTGCAGGGGAGGAGAGGGGAGAGCAGTGTTAGATCTGGTACTGAGAGAGATCACCAGGTGGGACCCTGCAGGGGAGGAGAGGGGAGAGCAGTGTTAGATCTGGTACTGAGAGATCATCAGGTGGGACCCTGCAAGGGAGGAGAGGGGAGAGCAGTGTTAGATCTGGTACTGAGAGATCACCAGGTGGGACCCTGCAGGGGGGAGAGCAGTGTTAGATCTGGTACTGAGAGATCACCAGGTGGGACCCTGCAGGGGGGAGAGCAGTGTTAGATCTGGTACTGAGAGATCACCAGGTGGGACCCTGCAGGGGGGAGAGCAGTGTTAGATCTGGTACTGAGAGATCACCAGGTGGGACCCTGCAGGGGAGGAGAGGGGAGAGCAGTGTTAGATCTGGTACTGAGAGATCACCAGGTGGGACCCTGCAGGGGGGAGAGCAGTGTTAGATCTGGTACTGGGAGATCACCAGGTGGGACCCTGCAGGGGAGGAGAGGGGAGAGCAGTGTTAGATCTGGTACTGAGAGATCACCAGGTGGGACCCTGCAGGGGAGGAGAGGGGAGAGCAGTGTTAGATCTGGTACTGAGAGAAATCACCAGGTGGGACCCTGCAGGGGAGGAGAGGGGAGAGCAGTGTTAGATCTGGTACTGAGATATCACCAGGTGGGACCCTGCAGGGGAGGAGAGGGGAGAGCAGTGTTAGATCTGGTACTGAGAGATCACCAGGTGGGACCCTGCAGGGGAGGAGAGGGGAGAGCAGTGTTAGATCTGGTACTGAGAGATCACCAGGTGGGACCCTGCAGGGGAGGAGAGGGGAGAGCAGTGTTAGATCTGGTACTGAGAGATCACCAGGTGGGACCCTGCAAGGGAGGAGAGGGGAGAGCAGTGTTAGATCTGGTACTGAGAGATCTAACACTGTGTAGTAAGCAGCAATAACACACATATATATGAAACCCTCTTTCCTGGTTGGAAAGGTGCTCATATCAGTGATTTATTGCCACGTCATTAACCTCTATTTCAATAGACACCTCAACAGAACTGTAAGAGTAAGTGAATGTAATTGGTCCAGACGTTTCTTTAGTTCATTTGTTTTTTTTTAGATTAACAACCATAATGACTTCTTTAGTACGTTTACTCACATCAATTAGTAATAATTAAAACAGCTTGGTGATCATTTACCTGAGAAATAGCTATGAAAACCTTGACAGTCAATGGGCAATAGACTGTCCATTTAAAGTGGAACTGACAGCGTTAACTACTTCTCAGTTATGAAACCGACAGAAAATCATAATATCAGTCGAAAATATCAAATTCCCAGTTTATGCTACAAAACCAACTTCATAAGAGGTTTTAAAAATAGGTTATTTTTTACTCAAAATTCCATGACGTACAGTAAGTCATTGTTGGCAGAGTAGATGGATGCAGTTCAATGCATGATTCATATAATTCACCAATACATTTCTTGGTAGTCCAACAAATATTGCTATCAGGTTATAAATCACAGCTGGCCTGGTACATTGTTTGCTGCCTCCATTCGGGATGCACTGTTTCAGTTTCAACGACTCAATATTTTGGACAAAAACGGACGAATGTAACTAAGGCTGGGAATGTCAATACAATCAAACTAACAAGGGCAATGATCAGTCAGTCATAACGTGGCTAATAGGCTAGCGTATCTATTTATGTAGCAAGCTAAAATCACGGAGCCTAACGTTAGCTAGCTAACTGCTGGGAGGATGTCATGACATTGGACCAGTGGGTGAGTGGCCGACTTTCCCCCCCCCCACTCATATCATTTTTCGGTGCCTACAGCTAGAGATGCAAGTGTCATTTGGTTAGCTAGCAAGAAATGTGAATCACTGTTATCCACAGTTAGCATATCTCTTAGTTGTCAACCAAATGCATTTGGCATCGATCAAATGGGAGGGCAGGCAATTTCCCATTCAGTTGTCAGAACGTGGGTTTGGACATGCAGAGAAGCTGCAGAAGGGCGAGGAGGCTACTGTTCCTCATCTTTATCAGCGCTATTTTGACGGCCAACTACAAGCAACAACAACAAAAAAAGTGTGTGAGGGTTTATCTGGTTAGATTTTAGCTCATCTCGCTCTGGCTAACATTAGTTGTTGATCTTGTCGTTGTTGATGTGCATAACTGAGGGAGAGAGAGCCTACATGTTCATGGTTGTTTGATCAATAGGACTGTAAAGTTCCCAAATGTAAGAGGACTCCCTCTATATTTACATACAGTATTTGCAGAAATCCATTCAGGTGTATTTTGTGGCTTTTGGCAAATGCTTTCTAATGATCTAAAGTCGCGCTGTTGCTACTGCCTGGGAGTTGGCCCAGCGTCGTCCAGGGTAGGGGAGGGAATGGCCGGCAGGGATGTAGCTCAGTTGGTAGAGCATGGCGTTTGCAACGCCAGGGTTGTGGGTTCGATTCCCACGGGGGGCCAGTATGAAAAATAAATAAAATATGAATGCACTCACTAACTGTAAGTCGCTCTGGATAAGAGCGTCTGCTAAATTACTAAAATGTAAATGTAAAATGAGTACTGTGCAGGTATTCTACTTTAGGGACCTGTGGGGTCCAGGAAGAGCTCCCTCGTTCTCACCTGTGGGGTTCAGGAACAGCTCCCCCGTTCTCACCTGTGGGGTCCAGGAAGAGCTCCCTTGTTCTCACCTGTGGGGTCCAGGAAGTGCTCCCTCATTCTCACCTGTGGGGTTCAGGAACAGCTCCCCCGTTCTCACCTGTGGGGTCCAGGAAGAGCTCCCTCGTTCTCACCTGTGGGGTCCAGGAAGAGCTCCCTCGTTCTCACCTGTGGGGTCCAGGAAGAGCTCCCTCGTTCTCACCTGTGGGGTCCAGGAAGAGCTCCCTCGTTCTCACCTGTGGGGTCCAGGAAGAGCTCCCTCGTTCTCACCTGTGGGGTCCAGGAAGAGCTCCCTCGTTCTCACCTGTGGGGTCCAGGAAGAGCTCCCTCGTTCTCACCTGTGGGGTCCAGGAAGAGCTTGTGTACTCTGCTGTCATCCTTCCTCCCCAGTTCTATCTGGTTGGGCTGGTCTGGCTTGGCAAGGTCAATCCTGGAACAACATACAGAGGAAAACTTTATAAACACCTTTATTAAGTAAAATTCACTTATCTTAGATACCAATACGGTATACAATCTTATGTGAAAACACACGCAGCTATTTCAGAAGATATTTTAAAGTTGTGCAACAAGACATTAAATATTCATCATTACACCATCATTACACCAATCCAAAAATATACATCATCACCCTGAACGACTGACATGGTCAACTCTTAATCCATCATTTGGCTTTTAATCCCATCATTTAGCAATCACGTCAAGATACAAACTGCACCACTCACACATTCTGCTCGTCTTACACAGAGAGGCATGGACAGGCATGGGTGACAGGGCTATTCACAAGACCCTGATAACGCTGGATCACTAGGGGGGTGTTGCAGATAAAAGTGTCCCCTACCTCAGAAGAGTGTCCTTCCCTAAACTCATGCATAGCTGATTGTTGCAGACAGCGAAGTGGTTGATTTTCTCTGGGGGTGAGAAATCAATCCTCTGTTTGTTGAATATCGGCTTCTCCTCCTCCAGTCTCACATTCACGAACCCTACAACGAATCATGAATTACTTATGTCAATCATCATCGCCAACATAATCGAGTCCCGGTAGCAAGCTAACTAAACATTATATAGATAATGAATCTATTGGCTATATATGAAAGCAATGTGGTGCGCAGATTCAACCATATAGATGGTCCCAACTAGCCTTATCATAAACAAAACCCAATTGAGAGGCCCGTAGCTTTCCCCAGTACCGGAGTGTGTTATGCCGATGTTGGCAGCAGACAGGCGGCTACTGTGTTGCACAGGGTGTCTGCTGTTCTGCGAGTCCTCGTATTCATCCAGGATAGAAGACATTGCAAAACGTCTAAAGCAGAGAAAACCTAGCTAATAGCTAACTTCTACAATTTCAGATCATGCGATGGCATGACTGTGCTAGCTAGCTATTTAGAGTCTGCAAAAAAACAGATTCGGTTGCCTGCGTGTCGTGAGAAATGTTTCAGAATAGAAGAGTAGCCCACAAGAAAGAAAACGGTATAATCTCATCCATTTAAAAACAGTCAAAACATGCTAATTTGGTGAAGCTTCCTGAAAATATACAAACGCACAACAAGGGAGGGCCAGTTTAGTCAGGTGATCCACGGATGTCATCATGTGATCAGGACACTGTTGTAGTTCTAATGTCTGACACGAGGACACGCACTTTGTCCAATATTCAAAAAGGGCTGCCATCTATTTATAATGATTATACATTGAATTCACTGCAAAATCATATAAGAAAAAATATATACATTATTGTACTTTAACCCAATCCTCAACCGGCTGGTAGAGCATGTTTTGACAATAGATTTAGAAGTAGATATGAAAAAATCTTCACTTGTACTTCATTGGTCAACTCCCCCAGCCCTCCTGCATCAATTTACATTATTTGTGTCCTTTTAGGTTGCAGCAGTTCAGTGTTGTGGCCCACTTAGAGGGCTGTAAGAAAACTCACAATCAGTCACCAAACGTATGGGATTAAAGGCAGGAATTCAGTTTGTGAGGGATTCATATCGCACCATTCCTGTTAGTAGAGACGTTGAAGAGTAGGAATATGAAAATAAATAGTTAAAATGTAAAAAGGCTGAAAAGCAAGAATTTTGTAAAACTGTGCTCAACCAGGCGGTTGAAATGTCAGGAAAAAGTATGGTGGACTCCCTATGTAATTTGTATTTATTTTCTAATACGTATTTTTGCAGAAAAATATGATTTAATTGTTGACACTAGGCAACATAAATTGGATTAAACCACATTCCATGACCCATTGGGTCCATTAATCAATATGAATCAATAAAAAGCCATTGAAGCAGACCTAAAGTACTTTTTGTAATATCGTCGAAATGAGTAAAAATGCTATGCAAACTGCCATTCTAATATGGTATGACCTCTTTTGACTTCTCAACCGCTTGGTAGAGCTCTGTTATCAAGTTAAAACAAATGGAAGTTTATTTTTTTAAAAGTTGTTAGCAATAGGAATTTAAGGTGAAATCATTTTCCCAACATGTTTTTCAAGAAGAGACAGTTAAATGGATAACAATAGTACGTTGTCAAAATACACAACTGCAAATCAATTATTGCACTTTCGATTCGTTGCAAAATAGATTTCTCTGTAAAGTTTTTTCTTGTAATTTCCTTATCTTTGCATTTTTACCTTAATTCTTTCAAAACACATATCACAGCAAATATTTGTGAAGTAGCCTATTATCTCAAAATAGCACCCAATATAAGAACTTAACCAACCATCTAAGGTTCTTTGTCAGACGGTATATATCAGGGATGGGCAACTTTGATGGGGGTGGGGGCCACAAAAAAATAATATATATTCTTTGGCAACCATCTCACAACTTCCAAGGAACCAAATGTGCTAGCATGGGAATAGATTGTCATTGTTTCATTATCACGTAGGTGTCAGACCACACCTTTTCTTGATCTGCGTTCAGCGGGGGCGGGGCTATGCAAATCACAACCTGTCTGAGCAGAAAAGTTCCCTCAAAACCAAGTCGCCTCACACCGTCATTCACTAACCATCAACGTGATGCTTGAGGAGAAACATAAACTATTCTAGAGAATCGCACGTTCGAAATAAGACCGATCTCTTCTGCACTGCAAAGGTACTATTCTTCCATTTTAATTGTTGGACATGCCACCTCAAATGGATTATTATTGTGAAGAATCCCGCGTCCCCTCTTCTTGCGGACTGATGAGCCAAGAGGCCAGGTTGGAGAGGGAGCCAGCGGCTATCAGCTGTATGCTGGTGGGGGACGGGGCTGTGGGGAAGACGAGCATGATAGTCAGTTACACCACAAATGGATACCCCACGGACTACAAACAGACAGGCTTTGACGTCTTTTCTGGTGAGTACCTTTAAATTACTCAAAAACATAAAATAAAATAAACCTTGTAGCCTAAGTTTATAACCTTATAATAGCCTAATTTATAAGAATTTAATAACTGAATGTATTGTTTTCTACTAGGTTAATTCATTGTAAATGATCATTGTTTATGGAAATATGGCCTATGATTTACAAACCCAGACTATGTACAAACTTGAGTTATAAAATAATTGTATTCTTCTGTTTTCTTCAACAGGTCAAGTCGAAGTAGAGGGAGCCCCAGTCAGAATACAACTACTGGACACAGCTGGACAGGTAAGAATATCAGCCTGAATAGGTTATTCTTGAATCTCATTAGTCCAATTTAACGACAACCGTTTGAAACGTGTTGGAATGGAACATCCGTGTGCTTTGTAGAATCAGTCACAAATGTGACAAACAGATTTAGTGACAGGAAACGATCAGTCTTTCACATGTAGCAGCAGTAGATTGGTTCTAAAGGCTACCACATGTCATACTGTGTGAGACATCGTCTCTCTCTCTCTCTCTGTCACGGCGTCCATTGTTGTTGTTCAGACCCCCAAGACAGCATTCACATTCACACGCTCTGCTGAATCAGCTAACCCGACCCCTCTCTCCGCTCTCTCTCTCTACCTTGACATTTCCAGGAGGTGTTTGATGATTTCCGCTCCCTCTCCTACTCCCACACGGACGTCTTCCTGCTCTGCTTCAGTGTGGTCAACCCCGCCTCCTTCCACAATGTCACCAACAAGTGGATCCCCGAGATCCGAGCCTGCAACCCCTCAGCTCCCATCATCCTCGTGGGCACCCAGTCCGACCTCCTGCTGGACGTCAACGTCCTGATCAACCTGGACCACTGCGGGGTCAAACCGGTGCTGACCCCTCGGGCACACAGCATGGCAGATAAAATCAGAGCAGGCGGCCTATGTGGAGTGTTCTTCGTTGACGCAGAAGAACTTAAAAGAGGCGTTCGACGCGGCCATCTTTGCTGCCATCAAACACAAGGCCAGGAAGGAGAAGAAGAGGCAGCTGTCGGACAGACGCTCCAAGGCCTTCTCTAAATGCAGCTGGAAGAAGTTCTTCTGTTTTATCTGAGATACAGACCCCATTGGTCATGGACAGAAAGACTAGTATTTATTAACTTATGAAGACTTTGTAAGAGCGATGGAGCTTTGGAATCATCCCAGCAGTGGTGAATGGACTGAGCTCTATGGGCCTATGAAACTTGTTACTTCACTCCTGGTCTGAGGACAGTGGTATAGTAGTCCCGTGTAGCTCAGTTGGTAGAGCATGGCGCTTGGAACGGCAGGGTTGTGGGTTCGATTCCCACGGGGGACCAGTATGAAAGAAAAAACAATTTATGCACTCACTAACTGTAAGTGGTTCTGGATAAGAGCGTCTGCCTAAATGACTAAAATGTAATAATAATGTAAATGCTTGGGATATTCTCACTTAGCCAAAAGGCTGTGGTTGTGTTTCTGGGCTGGTCTGAGCAGGCTCTCTTTCACTGTGGATTGAGCTGCTTTGATTAGTGATTACATTGATTACACCAAAACATGCGCACATTATCATGCCTGATTGCTCAGGTTGACAGATAGTCACTAACGAAAGTACAGTATCTGTCAAGTAGGCCTACAAGGTTTAGGTAACCAAGTAAGAAGCGAAAGAATAGAGAGAATATTAAACCAAGTACATCACAAGCATCCTGCCGTCATGTAAATGTTATGAACTCATTTACATGGTCTGGATTGGTGCCCATTCCAACCTGAGACTTCACTGCACCTTCTCTATGTGATAGTCCCATGTGGCTCAGTTGGTAGAGCATGGTGCTTGCAATGCCAGGGTTGTGGGTTTGATTCCCACGGGGGACCAGTATGAATATTTTTATGTATGCACTCACTAACTGTAAGTTGCTCTGGAGAAGAGCGTCTGCTAAAAGGTGGAGAGAGTGCTGGCTGGGGGTCAAACAGACCCAGACCTATTCATATGCAACAGTGTATGTAGGCTGAAGTCGCTAGGCTAGGTGCTAACGTCTTACCTGTGTGTGAACTGGGAATGGCTCCCAAGCCTATGTGTTGATTACTGTGTTAGGCTTTGATGTAATGAGCTGTCAGTATCAACTCCAGCCTGTGACAGGGTGTAGAGAGAGGAGGAGACCCCCAGCCTAGTCCCCCGCCCAGTCCCCCCGCCCCAGCCTGTGACGGGGTGTAGAGAGAGGAGGAGACCCCCAGCCTAGTCCCCCGCCCCAGTCCCCCAGCCCCAGTCCCCGCCTCAGCTTGACGGGGTGTAGAGAGAGGAGGAGACCCCCAGCCCAGTCCCCCGCCCCAGTCCCCAGCCTGTCCCCGCCCCACCGTGAGGTGGGAGAAGGACCCCGCCTAGTCACCGCCCAGTCGATCTTCTGTGAGTGGGTGTAGAGAAGAGGAGCAGACCCCCACCTCAGTGCAATTAGCCACCGTCCCCGCCCCCTGTACGGGTGTATAGATTGAGAGACCCCAGCCTAGTTCCCAGCCCAGTCCAGCCCCTGCCCACGCCCTAGCAACTTTGACGTGTAAGAGAGGAAGACCCCCAGCAGTCCCCACCCCAGTCAAGCCTTCCCGCCCAGCCTGTGACGGGTGTTGGAGAGAGAGGAGCCACCCAGCCTAGTCCCCGCCCCAGTCCCGCCCAGTCCTGTGACGGGTGTTTTAGAGAGAGGGGAGACCCCCAGCCTAGTCCCCGCCAGTTCCACCCCGAGCCCAGCCACCCCAGGGAATGACACTCCTGTCACTGGGACCTCATTTGTTTATTTCTTTCTTTGTTTAGTGGGGAGTAGACACTAGACAGCCCAGCCACCCTCCAGTGAATGAAACACTCCCGTCCGTCTCTGATTCTCTGTTAGTTGACACTGACCACACTACTGTGTCCAGACGAATCAGCCTGCCCAATCTATGGGGTACAATGTGTACATTATAGGAGGCTAAATAGCACCTTCTTGAATGTTAACACTCACTTTAAATAGCTTGCGTGCCCGTCTGGTTCTGTGTTGTTTTTGTACAGTGATGTTATTGCCCGACCGATGGTTGGTGACAGTCAGTCCTAGCTGGTTTATAGAGATGAGGGTTGGCACCCAGGCTAGATGAGGGTTGGCACCCAGGCTATATGCTTCTTGTGGAAGAGTGAATGTAAATTTGATATCTATTTCTGTTTGTTTTAAACAGTTCATTGAAAGTTGTTTTTTGTCTGCAATTTTACAGATCTGTGAACAGTTTATTTTTGTCACTAATCTCAAACCAAACCCTCTGTCAGCTTTTTCATACTGTCTTTGAACAAAGTGATGGAAATAAATTCTGGGGGAAAAATCTAAAAAAGTATATTCTTTGTCACAATTTATCGCTGCTACATTTGAATAAAAAAAAAAACACGTGTATATTGACATTCCATTTTGTGATTCCAGAGACTTCTGTAACCAAGTCTAGCACCTCGATTGACTGTTGAAGCAAGTAAAAGGCCTGTTTAGGAAGAGCACTCCTGGAGTCTGATGGGCGTTTAGCATTGTTCTCTATGGGGGTCCTGAGTATTCCGTAGAAACTCCCCAGGTGCATTATATCGTATACCTGGACCATCACGTTACCTTGGGATGTGGTAATAAGTGAGTGAAGGGGGTGAGAGGGTAAATGCTGGGTGGAATCCACATGGGGAGTTTACATTGTAACGCAGCTATGCCATGCTGGGAGCAGCTATGCCATGCTGGGAGTGGTTCTTGAGGGAGCGGTAAGAGAAGATTCGGGGTGTTTATAGTGATAAACGTTTGACCAAGTGCAGTTACGTAACAAATAAATAAAGAATGAGTCCCAAATGGCGCCCTGTTCCCTACATCGTGGTCCTCTGTAGCTCAGCTGGTAGAGCACGGCGCTTGTAACGCTAAGGTAGTGGGTTCGATCCCCGGGACCACAAAAATGTATGCACGCACGACTGTAAGTCGCTTTGGATAAAAGCGTCTGCTAAATGGCATATTATTATATTATTACATAGTGCACTACCTTTGACCAGAGTCCTATGGGTCCTAGTCTAAAGTAATGCACTTCATAGGGAATAGGGTGCCATTTGGGACTCAACCAGTGTAATCTGATTTGATTGTGATGATAATGTTGACACTTCATGTATAAATTAGGAGAACATCCTGTGCCAGTTTTCACACTGAGAGATAGGATGGATGGAGGGATGATGGATGGATGGATGGAGGGATGATGGATGGATGGATGGCCATGAACACTGCTGTGTATTTCCTGTCCAGAGAGGTAAGCATTTGTATTCAAAGGGGTAGGGTAGTGAAATGTCAGGTGTGTGTGGTTGGGTGCTTGCGTGTGTCTGTGTGTGTGTGTGTGTTCATCTTGATGTGACAGACCTTGTGTAAGGTTCAAGGACTGTTGGGATGAGTCATACAACAGGAGAAGAAAAACTCACCCACCTCTCATACATTATCACTGCAATCTGGCTATCATCACTGTCTCTCTGTGTACGATCCATCTTGCACAACAGGCGTTAATGTGTCACAGTTTTGTTTAAAGGATAGTTGTAGCCTGGGCGCCAGTCTATTTCTGGTCTCTTGCCAACTCAGAAACAGACTGGGATCCAGGCTAAGTTATCAATGGGGAAAAGCAGACCTTTCCACTTCCTCTGACCGCTGATGACCTGAGGATAGCCAACAGAGAGATTTCGCAGCCAATAGATAGCCAATCGAGAGATGTCAGGGGTCAAAGGTCAGGGGTTATAGACCATATCACTGTGTCACTCTACACCTCTGACACAAGTGAACACATGTTGCACTGGGTTTGACCCTAGGCTAGAGGTCAAATCAGTTGTTGACAGATAGCATAGCTATGACCTGACCATCCTAAAGCAGACCACCTGTCAAGACTTCCGCCGAGGCTGCCTCTCCTCCTTGTTCGGGCAGGTTTCGGCGTTCGTCGTCACCGGCTTACTAACCACTGCCGCTCCATATATCATCATTCCATTTGTCTTGTCTTGTCAATTACACACACCTGGTTCATATCCCCTCATTAGTCTGTGTATAAGTGTTCCCTCTGTCCCCTTGTCCTTGTGGGTGATTGTTTTATGTGAAGATGAGTGTAGCTCGGTTGAGCTACCCATACTTCGTATTGCCGGGGTTATTTCTCCCCGTGTGCCTGTACTGTGTTCCAGTGCGCCTGTATTACGCCCTGTGCTGTTGACGCTATCCAGCGTAACTGTGTACTACGGAATAAACTCTGTGTTCGGTGATTTACCCTCCTGCGCCTGACTCCTTCAAATCACACTCTCACACCACCCTATAACAGACCACCCTAAAGCAGACCACCCTAAAACAGACCACCACTAGTAGGACTCTTCAAGTTTGAATCAAACATATGTAGGAATGCCATTCTCTCACTATGGTTTATATCAACATGTTTCATTTAGAAAGGCAAATGCCCTCAGTATTTGATTGACAATATAAAATGCTGTTTGATATGACCATTATAAACACCTGGAGCTGTAGGCTACAGAGAGGGCAGGTCAGAGGGAGTTCATAACCCCTCTAAAGGTTCTTAACCCCTCTAAAGGTTCTTAACCTCTCTAAAGGTTCTTAACCCCTCTAAAGGTTCTTAACCTCTCTAAAGGTTCTTAACCTCTCTAAAGGTTCTTAACCCCTCTAAAGGTTCTTAACCTCTCTAAAGGTTCTTAACCCCTCTAATGGTTCTTAACCCCTCTAATGGTTCTTAACCCTGGCTCACAGAGGCCATGAGAGAGTGGACCACACCTGGAAGTCCCAGCTAATACATGACACACTTCCACAAGTAGGCAAAGGCTCAAATACACACACATACATCATTATCCTAACATACGTTAACAGTTTTCCCATGAAGATATGGCCACTAATAATGACAATAATAATGTGATTTCATATTGACAGCCACGACACCATTATTCCCACACACACAAACTCGCATTGAGCAATCAAGGCCAAGTCGGACAGGTTTTAGGTTCCCATGAACTCTCGCTCTCTCTCTCTCTCTCTCTCTCTCCTCCCTCCATCCTCCCTCTCTCTCTCTCTCTCTCTCTCCTCTCTCTCTCTCCTCTCT